TGTTTAGGTTGTGTAAATAAATTATCCAGGAAGAAAATGGTAATAAAAAGTTTGACAATGCACTTTCTCTGCATGAAAATGTAAGATACATTGTGCAAGTTATATTCTATTGATAAAACTAGAGGTACTGTGAGCAATGAGCTCACTAAATGATACCCCCCGCCTCCCATATGAATATAATGGCAGTGTCCATGTTTTGCTCTGAAAAATCCAAAATATATGTCAGATCAAAAAGTAAAATAGGAGGTGCACAATGGCAATATGTAATAAAGATTCTTTGAAAGTTTCATTAAATTTCCTTCAGTGGTATGGGAGGAGTTGCGGATAAGAGATGGGTACCCCAAAGCGTAACAGACGGACGGACGGACAGACAGACGGACGGACGGACAGACGGACAGACGGACGGAAATACCGATTACTATATACCCTCCCGCTTTTCAAGCGGGGGGTATAACTAGAGGCACTGTGAGCAATTAGCTCACTAAATGAAACCCCCTCCCATATGAATATAATGGGAGTGTCCATGTTTTGTTGTGGGAAACCCAAAATATGTGTCGGATCGAAAAGTAAAATAGGAGGTGCACAATGGCAATATGTAATAAAGATTCTGTGAAAGTTTTATCAAATTTCATTCGGTGGTAAAAGAGGAGTTATGGATAAGAGATGGGTCCCCAAAGCGTAACAGACAGACGGACGGACATACCGATTACTACATACCATCCCGCTTGAAAAATATTACAGAAACAAGTGTATGTGCGCAGAGAGTAAGGAAGAACATAGATATACCCCGGTATTATTTTTTAAAATCGTTTTTCATTATTGTGAATTTTTTAGGTAATTTCTATTTAATTTGTTTCAAAGTCTCCAGGGCCCGTTGATTGGGCATAACACATCAAATATCCTTTTTCTTGTATAATTAAAAACAAAACAAAAACAGCTATAGTTTAGAGATTACATGTAAAAATTACAATAAAATATTTGTTGTTTATAAAATATGTTTAATTTTTAACATAACATATTATATATTAAACATCATCTACATGGAAGATTGGATAAAAGAAATAAAATTGTCAATTTCTTTTGAAACATATCTACTATAAAAATTTCTTCATTCAGTCCTGAGTCAACATCAGATCCCAAATCATTCGGGTTTATGATGAGACCCTTTTCATGTCTTTAAAAATCTGAAATAGAAATACATGTACCAGTATTAAGATTGGACTGCTTTTTAAATTCAAAGGTTTCACTTACCGGCCATGTAATGAAATAATTAACTGGACAAATCATTAAACTAGAACTGTCCAACAGGCTTGGGGTCAATTACTTTGAAATGTAATTAGTTACTTTCAAATACATTGATAATTTTGTCAATTACTTGCAATTACAATTACATTGATTTTTTCAAATGTAATTAATTACTTTCAATTACTTTGACAAATGTAATTAAATACATTTCAATTACTTGAGTTTTATTTTAAAAAAAATTTGTAAAAATAAGATTTTTTCTATAGTGAATTTTTATTCGGTGTTTTTGTTCTTGGATATGACAGGGGTTCACACCTTGACCAATTACCTATAATAACTTTGGCAGTGTGACACACTGTATAAACAAGTTAAATTAAACACTATGAGACATTTAATTATTGTACAAACACAAGCCAATGCTACACCTGCAGGTAGTCCGAAAAATCTGACGTTTTTCTGGCTTTTTTACGATTTTGATATTTTACATGCCAGGAAAACGTCAGAACCGGCGCCATTACGAAAACTGGGAATTTCACCGTCTTCAACCGAAGTTGATTTTCTATACTTGGGAACCGAATTAGATGCCGAAATCACAATTTATCAATGGCACAATGCTACTAGAACTCACCAATAGCGATGAATAGAAATTACCACTCCACATTCCGATTCAGAACTTGCACGATTTTAAAATGCACGAAATGAAAACAAATCTCGACAGTCAGATAAAATGTGTTCATCGGATTATATTATTTCTTAAACGAAACAAAAAAACGATGTTGGTGAGTACTAAAGGTTTTGTACTATTGATAATATGTGAATTCAGCATTTGATTCGGTTTACAAGTATCGAAAATCAACCGCTGAGTGCCGCCTCCGGTTGGAGGCGGCGATTTCCCAGTTTTCGTAATGGCGCCGGTTCTGACGTTTTCCTGGCCTGTAAAATATCAAAATCGTAAAAAAAGCCAGAAAAACGTCAGATTTTTCGGACTAACCTGCAGGGTGTATGACAAGAAGTTTGATACTTTCTTGAATCCATATTTTTTAATAAAATAAATTAATATTTCTCACAAATCTATGCAGTATTTTTTTCTTAAAATGTTGGGAATCCATGCACTTGTAAAGCTTAAAGGGATGTAGTTAGTCTAATTACTGTAAAAACAAATTAACTATCTAAAACCATCTATTGTTACTTTCAAGTGGGAATAGTTAGAATTGAGATTTTCAAAAAGTGGGAATAAGTAGTATATATCCACCAGTGTAAAAACTGTGCATCAGTATATAAACTTTTTATAAATTTTTATTTTGAAAAAAGTAATTAAAATGTAATTGACAAGTAATTGAAAATACATGACCTTTTTTGAAATGTATTTAAATACATTCAATTACTTGTAATTGAAAGCTCACTCAAATACAAATTACCTCCAATTACTTTGAAAAATGTAATTAATTACACTCAATTACAATTACTTTATTCAATTACCCCATCCCTGCTGTCCAATAGGGACAAATACCCCCGCTGGGTTTTTCAGAGAAGGTGCCAATTCAAAAATACTTTATGGATCTAGAGGTGTTCACAATTTACTTACAAAAATTTGCAGTGAAATATTATTGCTCATCATGTTTCTTAATGAATGAAACAAAGGTGCAACCAAATGAAACATCAATACTAATACATTGTAATTCCATTGTAACATTTTTTTTTTATTTTTTCATTTTATTTTTTTTTATTTCTGCATTAAAAAAATATATTGCAATTATGTGTTATGTCACTCTGCAAACTGATTGTTGAAAAAAAACCATTATACAAAATCAAATTAATCTTGATATATCAATTTGAAATGCATTTTGAAAATAAAGAGCTGGTCATCCAGTAATGAAGTGCTTTGACAGACAATAAATTACAATTAAGAGAATAAGAGACGAGAGATCTTTAATTCTTGTGCCTTATTCCCTGGAGATTAGATAACATACATGCTTGATAACGAAGTTGGGGAACATATTGTTTTTACTCTGTTTCTTATTATCATTATTATTTTTCTTCTTCCTGGGTACTTTTTTGTCCGAGAGTGATCTTGTAAACTACACATCCGACTTAGGTAAAACCTTTTTAGGGTCAGTGGGCATGTTATGTAGATTTGTGGAACGAAGGTCATTTTGCGCGCACGTGCTTGCAAGAGCGTGCACGTGCAACACGTGAAATGACCGATTTAATTGATATAGGCGTAACTTTTCACATTTTTGATGAAATGCTTTGAAACTCATAATATAAGGATATATTAGTAGCATAGACAATATGACACGGTCAAAATAGCAAGATCTCACGCGCATGCACGTGCGCTTCGCTCTGATTGGCTGAAACTAAAGTCTCAATATTTTTCTTGTTTTTTGACGAAATGCTATGAAATTTTGAACATAGCCATACATTAGGATATCCCACAACACGATATATAGCAATTATCAGGAAAAGACGTGCATGCACGTGCGCTGCAATCTGATTGGCTGAAACTTTAAATAGCTATAACTCCCTTGATTTTCAACCAAACAGGATGGGATTTGGAACATAGATAGATATAATAGGGCTCTATAAGAAGGTATGGTCACCATGCACATGCATACACGTGCGTGTACATGTGCTGCAATCTCATTGGCTGAAACTTTAAATAGCTATAACTCCCTTGGTTTTCAACCAAACGGGGTGGGATTTAGAACATGGATAGATGTAATGGACTTCTACAAGAAGGTATGGTCACCATGCTCATGTATGCACGTGCGTGCACGTGAAATGATTAAAATCAAAAATACACTTGAATGAGCGTATTTTTTAATACTTTTGGATTAAATACTTTAATATTTAGTATATTAAAATATATAGATTCTGTAGACAATATGATATGGTCATTACGCATATGCATTCACACGCGCACGCGTGCAATGCTAAAATTTGAATGAACTTGGTACACTTCTTGGTAGACGTTGTTAAAGTCTCAAATGCATAGAGTTTTCTTATTAGATGAAGCTTACAGGGGATATGGCACCAAAATGGAGTTGGGGAGCATTTGGGGAACATCTGTAACGGTCCCCGTTACAATTAGCACTAGTTTATCTTTAACTGGATGCATGTCCTGTCATTATTCCCAAGAGACAAATGAAATTACATTATCTTCTGTGCAATGTAAAAACTGTTTTTAATACTTGATGATGTTTCTTTTTTCTAAGTTTTTATGAGTAGTTTTAAGCTGTAGTATTTTTGAACAGATATTCTAGATTCTATATCTCAAACCTTATACATGAGCCCAAAATGAACAAGTCAATTAAAATAAAAAATAAAACCTGTAAAATGCAAAAAAATTAACAAAAAGAGTTGAAAATTCCAGGTGCACACCTTCATATGGTGAATAATAAGTGTACAAATTTTCAGATTAATCCTTGCAATAGTTTCTGAGAAATGGTCCAGACAAAACCACAAAATAAAAATGAAAAAACACCTGTAAAATTCAAAATAATAATCCAAACAAGATGAAAATATCAGGTGCACAACTTCATATGGTGAATAATATGTGTACAAATTTTCAGGCAAATCCTTCCAATAGTTTCTGAGTAATGGTCCGGACAAAATCTCGTCTACAGACAGACAGACAGACAGACGGACAGACAGACATGGTGATTCCAATATACCCCCCCTAAACTTCGTTTGCGGGGAGTATAATGATATATTCCATTTTTTAAATTATTTATTAATACTGTGCAGGTACTAACTTTTTATCCTCACTATTTCTGGAACTCCATCACTCCTATTAACATCCAAGAAAATCCAGGAAACATTCTCCGATTGCTGTAAAAAAAAAACCCAGAAAGTTATTAATTAAGGAATAACTGTCTTATTTTTCGATTTCATGATGTGATCAATCGATTGGCTTGCGTGATAATTTGCATAAACGCCGAAGGCGTTTATGCATAAAATTATCACGCAACCCAATCGATTGATCATCGTCATGAAATTGAAAAATAAGACAGTTATTCCTTATATTTACATGCTTTGATTCCGCCAATCCACGTGCTCCAAGCCCTGCTTCTGTCTAGCTGTTTGTCCCGCCCTGCACGTGGGTTTTTTGGAACTGCGCCAATACATTGATGGGGAAATAAAGGCGAATTGCAATTTGTAGTTTTATCTCGGTCAAAGACATTGAAAATGTAAATATTTTGAAATATGGGATACCAAGAGGCATATAAAACCTGTGGCTATTCTTTTTAAACTGTTAATGTAAATTGCTTTCTGTGTTTTACGGAAGTCAAAATTCATATTAGGGTAAACTGGGGTAATTTTGACCACTTTTGCTGACATATAGCTCTCAATCAGCAAAAGTTGACCATTTCCAATCGTAACAGACGGATGGACATCCCCATCACTATACACCCTCCTACTTTTCAAAGGAGGGGATTTAAAATATGGAGATACAGAGCAGTTTTCAAGCTTAACAGTCCACTGTATACAATTTGGAAGCAGAGCAGACACCTCTTAATCATCAGTGGGGGATCAGGTGACATGGAAGATTAAGCATCCCCTATAAGCTTATTTACATGATTGGCAAATTAAAAAATCCTAGACAGTTGAGTGTGTAAATAATGGCTTATTAACTGAAATGAAAAACATCAGTCAGCATTCAACTTGTGACAATGTAACATATGATTATCAACCATAGAACTTGCGAAATAATGACCTTAAATAAGACTGCTTATATTTTTGCTTCATTAACTTGTTTGTAATTATAGCTTGCCTTTTTTAAGAAATTGGCCTTTTGTGGAACATGCTTTTGCATATTCAATTAATTTGGAGACAAAAATCCTACATGCAGGTGATAAGGGTATATTGCTACACAAGTACTTGATACCATATAAGCAGAATTTTTAGCGAGGATTTAATTTTGGCATTATAAGTGAGGGTGCCAATATCGCTAAAATTGAATATCACTAAAATTATATTGCGCTTAATTTGTTATAGTTTCTTGAGTAAGCTTTTTAAAATTGCTAAATTTACATCTTGCTAAGAATAAAATACCCATTTTTAAGGACAAATCGCTAAATTTGCGTCTCGCTAAAATTTCCACTTATACGGTATATTCCTTCATAAGTAAGGGAGGAGTGTACTGCTAGTCTGCTACATAGGTTACGGAAGTTGAAAACAGAAAAATTGAAGTCATCACAATGATCACATTTATCATAAAGTTTTGATGTGAGATTACCATTACCATTTTTTTCTAGTAAAATTATCTAAATAAGAAACACATTTAGTATCTTAAGTTTCAGTGGATCAGCAACTTATACAGTATCATTATTTTTAGCAACTTATATCTATTTCTACACAAATGTTTTTCAATTAAATAATTAACATATTTATATCGATTAAACACAGCAAAGATTTCTTCATATTTGAAACAATTCATATTGAAACTTCTTATATTTTATATATGAACAATAGCATTGCATTAGATTTGTATCCATTTTCTCATTTCTTATACCCCCGCTTGAAAAGCAGGAGGGTATATAGCTATTAGGATGTCTGTCTGTTCATCTGTTACTCTTTGGTGTACCCATCTCTTGTGCAAATCTCCTCCTATACCACTGAATAAAATTTAATGATACTTTCACAGACTCTTTATTACATAATATAATTGTGCATCTTTTATTGTATTTTTGATCTGACACTTATTTCAGGTCTTCAAGTGCAAAACATAGACTTTGCCATTACATGTAAGGATATGAGAGCCAGGGGATATCATTTAGTGAGCTCAGTGCTCACCTAGTACCTCTAGTTTTTGACTGGCTGACTGGGAAAGATAGGGACATCAATTCAAGGGTTGAAGTTTTGTCCATACTCCAAATGAAGTTCTAATCCAACCACTGGCCCAACTGCACTCAACCATGCAATTATATACTGTCTACAAAAGAAAAAAGCTGTGAGAAAGGAAGCTATGCTTTCCTTACAATCAAATTTTTGTAGATTTATGAAAAAATCTCAAGAGATAAATTCTTGAGAATACAGTTTTTTAAAAGACAAGAACTCAGCACAGTTGTATAAATCATAGATATAAAATAAACAATTAATCTTAGACATTGCTATCCAAAATCCTGGGATAACTCTCCCTTTTTCCTCTGTGAGTCACTTTGAGTTAAAGATAGAGATTTGTACTCCTTTTCTGAAATGAAGCATAGTTGTAAATTCCAATTTACCTTTTGTCTTGCAATTTCCAGTTTTAATACCTTTTATCTTGTAACTTTAAGTTTACTTTTTATCTTGTAACAACCAATGTAATTTTTCTCTTGTAACTTCAAATTTACCTTTAATCCTGTAACTTTCAGCTCACCTTTTATCTGACAAGGTAGGGATGTTTTTCATTAAATCTGCTGTATGACAAGGATGTAAGAAGTAAAATGGCCGACCAAGAAGAGGGTGTTCCTACAATTAATATTCATTTTAGAAATGTTTATAACGCCATGAGCTTTTCTGCATGCTTTAATAAATCATCTACTTTCAAATTTTTCCTCAATGTCTAACAAAATCTTGTTTCCATACTACTAAATAAATGAAGGGGAAATGCAGAATTTTACAAAAATAATAATATTGAAAAGACTTAAAGTTTTCAAGTTTTGGTCAATCAATAGGGGGGAATAACTCTGACAAATTACAATTTTTTAAATCTGCCTGCCATAAAAACAAAAGATCAGAAAGCTGCTACCTAAATTTCAGCCAACTTTTCCCTTACCTGTTGTGAGATGAATGTCCATCTATCTTGTGATAACCTTTCTTTATACACAGCTGGCACCATCTCCCATATTTCCTCCAAACTCAAAAGCTTTCCATCTACAGAAATTGACAGAAAGAGTTATCTTCTCATTAACAATATTGATAGATAAACAATTTTATAGTTGTTTCATGGTTGTATAAATGGCTGTTAAGTTCCTGTAGTATGAAATATGGACATACACACAATATTCAAGCATACAAAGTTCATTTAAACAAAACAAATTTTGGAGCAGAGTAAAGCAAAGCCTACAAAAACATCAGAAGGCAAAATCAAGCCTGAGGGACATGATACTTAGAGGAGCTCACTTTTGATCTCAGTCTCACTTTTTCCAAAGGAATTTATAGTGAAAAAGTGAGACTGAGATCAAAATTGAGCTTGTTTAAATTTTATGGCCCCTAGGCCAGGTCTCATGGGAGATTCTACATAACATCATAAATGTAGTGGTCATTTGGTTTTTTGGGGGGCATCACTTTGAGAAGTATCTGTAGCTCTCCTGGACGGAGATTTGAACAGACTTGCCTTTAGCCTCACATTATCTGAGCAAGGCCATATGATCACATGTAGATTGTAGACTGCATTAAAACCCAATAACCGTATACATGTACATGTACTATTGTTTAGCATATATTTAATACATGTAGACCTAGCAGTTTCTGTCTTTAAAGAAGTTTCTGAATAATCTAACATTGAATTTGTTCTAAAGCAAAACTCGGTTATAAGGAAGTCACTGGTACCTATGAATTTATTTCGCTACATCCGTAATATAAGAATTTCATTTAATTTATATAGCTGGGGATCCAAGATGACTTCACTATAGCCGTAAATTCGCAAAATCTATGTTCGTACTAAACAAGTTTTGCTGTAGTTTGATTGTACAGGGTGTCCCAGAATATATGATACCATTTCTTGTTTGAATAAAACACAACTTAATGAATATTGAATAAAAACAAATACACATGTACATTGTTAATATGTCATATATTGTCCAGTTTTGGTAACATAATTTAATAGACATTAAAAAGAAAACAACAAAATTAGAACACTTAAAATTTTGAGACAGTTTTTACATGATGTGCTCCAAATAACGTCCTTTCTGGCTAGTGACGATGTTGAGACGTTGCATGAAATTCCTTATGACTGCGGCAGATGTCTCGTCAGTTATCTTCCTGATTTCCCTCCGAATTGCATGTTTTAAGTCTGCTAAGGATTCAAGCTCTGGCTTGTACACATTGTCTGTTAGGTATCCCCACAAAACGAAATCCAGAGGGCTTCGATCGGGGGAATGAGGGGGCCAAATGTATGTAGTTTTGAAAGAGATAAATTTTCAATTGAAATGTTTCTTGTAGCCAGTCAGTAACATTTCGAGTTGTGTGAGGCGTAGCTCTGTCCTGTTGGAACCATATATCCTTAGGATTAAAACCCCTTCTTATTAAACATGGCAAGAATTTCTTCTTCAAAAGTTCCAGATAGCGAGTACTGTTAACAGTCTGAGTTTCGCCTGTTTCATCTTCAAAGAAAAAAGGCCCTATTATCCCTTTAGAGCTCAAGGCAGCCCAAACTGTTATTTTCTCTCCATGAACAGGTTTCTCCAGATAAAGATTTGGTTTTTCCCTACCCCAGTATCGAGAATTTCCCTTGTTTACTATCCCGTTTAAGTAGAAATGAGCTTCATCGCAAAACCAAATGTCATTGACTATATTGTCATGCTCCCTTATCCACTGAGCAAAAGTAAGGCGGCTCTCTATGTCACTTTGCTTAAGGTGCTGCATTACAGTTATTCTATAAGGCTTTAAGTGTAGGTCAAATCTTAAAATTCTGTGAACACTGGATCGGTTACATGACAAAGTGTTACTCACATCACTTAAAACTTTCCTCACAGATCTTTGTGCTGTTTCCTCTATAACTTGCTGCACCTGTTTAATACTCTCTGGAATCCTCACCGACTTTGGTCTGCCTCCATTGTTCTGTCTGTTGTCTTGAATGGATCCCGTTTGCTAAAACTTTTTTACAATTCTTAATATTTGCTGCTTGGTTACTCGTTTTTCCTTTGGAAAATCTCTTCTTAAAATTCTTGTTACAGTAACCGGAGACTGGGTTCGGTAATATAGTTTTAAAATAAGGGTAGCTCGCTTCTTTGATAAATCCATTTTAATTCAAAGACATTTTTCATTTGCAATATTATGAGGCTATTTTGTGACATCACAATACCAAAAAAGTGAGATTTTTCCCTCCATATTTTGGTGCTATAAAATTGTATTTATTCAATTTATAACTTATACAAAAATCAAAGAAATTGGTTAAGGCATTTGTTTTTTATGGTTATTTCAAATGGTATCATATATTTTGGGACACCCTGTATATTGCAGTACATGTATTATCCTTTTAAAGGAAAAAATGTGTAAAGTACTTTGGAAATGGGCATTGAAGTACAAAACAGGGACGTTGTAGCTTTGGCTGTACACAATGTGGTATTCACAGGTAAGGACACGTTGCTCCGATTCCCCATCAGTCTGTAGTGCAGAGCTGTCTTCCTCCTCCACCTGCAGATTCAAAAATAAGAAACAGAGTTATCTCTCTTAATATGCATAAAATGGACATTGTTACAGGTTTAAAAGTTTACCCTTTCAATTTTTTTTTTTTAATTTTTGTTCAAATTTATACCCGTATTATTATATACTTTTTGATCTGCATTGTTGTACGATCTATTAAAAATTTTCTATTTAGAGATTTAACTGT